GACGGGGTTTCACCATGTTGACCAGGATGGTCTTGATCTCTTGACCTCGTGATCCACCCGCCTCGGCCTCCCAAAGTGCTGGGATTACAGGCTTGAGCCACCGCGCCCGGCCCACCTGGCTAATTTTTAAAAACTTTTTCTAGAGATGCGGTCTTTCTTTGTTGGCTGAGCAGGTCTCAAACATCTGCCCTCAAGTGATCCTACCACCTCAGCCTCCCAAAGTGCTGGGATTACAGGTGTGAGCCTTAGTGCCTGGTCTCCCTCTAGAAATTTGTTTTTCCTTTTTGAGATGGAGTTTGGCTCTGTCACCCAGGCTGGAGTGCAGTGGCGTGATCTCAGCTCACTGCAACCTCTGCCTCCCGAATTCAATTGATTCCCTGCCTCAGCCTCTGGAGTAGCTGGGACTACAGGCATGCACCACCACACCTGGCTAATTTTTGTATTTTTAATGGAGACTCAGTTTCACCATCTTGACCAGGCTGGTCTCAAACTTCTGACCTCAAATGACCACCTACCTCAGCCTCCCAAAGTGCTGGCATTTACAGGCGTGAGCTTCTGTGCCTTGCCTAGCAATTTTTAATGACTTTAAAATTCTAGCCATGCGTGACCTCCCAAAGTGCTATATAGTCCCAGCACTTTGGGAGGCTGAGGTGGGCAGATCACCTGAGCTCAGGAGTTGGAGACCAGTCTGGGCAAGGGGGCGAAACCCCATCTCTACACAAAATTAAAAATTAGCCAGGCATGGTGGCATGTGCCTGTAATTCCAGCTATTTGGGAGACTAAGGCAGGAAAATCCCTTGAGTCTGGCAGGCAGAGGTTGCAGTGAGCTGAAATTGTGCCAGTGCGCTCCAGCCTGGGTGACAGAATGAGACCCACTTTCCAAAAAAAAAAAAAAAAAAAACCCTGATATTCTGAAATTTCACTGTGATGTTCTTTCCTTCGGGTTTCATTAATACATTGTACTCAGTGGGTCTTTTCATTCTGCAGATACATATCTACTCATCTTATGAAACTTAAAAAAAAATTATTTGTTGATTTTTTTCTCCAGTGTTTTCTGGATTTTCTTTCTAGAATCTTCTTTCACAAATATTTCAGTCCATTGTATCCTACTTTCAGGTGTGGCCTTCAGTTTCTGAACCCTTGTAGGGTTATTGGGGCAAATCAGTTTACTTCTTATTGGGCTTTCCTTTACTAGGTTGGATTTTCTTGATATTGCCAAGTCTATACTATTCTCCATCTTCTTAATATTATATTATAATTCAGGATTACCACTGTTTCTTAGTTTCATCAAAGATGGAGTTTCTGTTTCTGTTTCTCATCCTCTGTATTTTTTGAGAGGAGAATAAAATTTAGAGGTATTCCGTATTGAAAAAGAAACTGAAATCTATTATTTTTATTTCTAGTGGTTGTTATCTATATCAGTTATGATTATATGCTTTATATCCTGAGTTTACCAAAAATGTTCTAAAACAAAATGATTAGATCTACAAACAGATAAAGTGATTTTTTGAATAAGCGTGACATTGCTTGCACATAAGCAATCTCTGGACTTAAAAAAAAATTCTGTATTCCATCAAATTCTGAGATACTGTCACTATATAAAGCACCAGTTTGTTATATAGCACTAAGAACAAAGAGCAGTCACTTAAACATTACACAGTGTTTTATATCCTAGACTTTAGAAACATTATAAAATGTTTACTGTGGTGAAAATCATATCGTAAAATTTACCATTTCAACCAGTTCAGTAGTGTTAAATATATTTACATTGTTTTGAAATAGATCTCTAGAACTTTTTAATATTCACTTAGACTCCTAATGTTATATTTATTGAAAGAATGCTTTTAGGCTTATTTGGGCATATATATATATAGATACATATTCATACACACACATACACAAACATATGTATATAATTTTGGTAGAGACTGGGTCTTACTGTGCTGCCCAGGCTGGTTTTGAACCCCTATCCTCAAGCGATCCTTCTGCCTTGGCCTTCCAAAGTGCAGGGTTGATAGACGTGAGCCACTATGTTATGCTAGGCACAGTTTTTAATTGTATATTACACTGCTTTGTTTTCTTGCCTTTCTATGAACATAATAATTTTTTGTTTAGGGCTAAATCATAGTATAATCTTTTGAAGACATTTAAACAACAAAATTACTTAGAACATGTTTGATATTAGCAATGTGCAAACGAATTCATATTTAAGTGATTATCAGATGAACAATATGACTAATTTGCATACATTTGCACATGCACAGGCAATGACAACTATGTCACAACTGTTGCCTGTGCTATAGAGATGTAAAAATGTCATCACTTTTAAACTGTTTCCCTATTTCAAAAATATTAAAACGTAAGAAAAGCGAGTCATAAGAATTGATGAAGGCTGGGCACAGAGGTGCATCCCTGTAATCCTAGCACTTTGAGAGGCTGAGGCAGGCAGATCACCTGGGGTCAGAAGTTAGAGATCAAACTGGCAAACATGGTGAAACCCCATCTCTACTAAAAATACAAAAATTAGCTGGTTGTGGTGGCATGTGCCTGTAGTCCCAGCTACATGGGAGGCTGACGCAGTAGAATTGCTTGAACCCAGGAGGTGGAGTTTGCAGTAAGTCAAGATCACGCCACTGCACTCCAGTCTGTGCTACAGACTGAGACTCTATATCAAAAAATATAAAAAAAGAATTGATGAACCATAATTACTATGCTTTCCATGAATAGAATTGGCTTCATAATGTTTCCATTTTTCTGTGTCTCAAATTATAATAAACTGTATATACATGTGTACATACATAGATACACGTATAAATATGTGTACACACATACTTTTTCTTTTTACTAAATAAACTGATAAGTAGGTCTCTGTTTTCTAGTTTGCAGATAAAGAAAACTTTCCAAAAGGAGGTACTAGCTTTAACATTGAAGACAATTTTAAAGTGCTATCTGGGTCTGAGAAGGACTCAATTGAAAATGATTGTAAGTAAAATATAACGTTAAAAAAATAGGTGACGTTGAACAAACTGTTATGTAAAAATCCTTGCTTTATTTTTCCACAGCAATTTTAGGTTTTTCTCCTAAATATTCAGAACATTTATATCATTATTTGGATTGTAATTTTAAATCAGCAGAGAAGACTTCATGGGAAGCAAATAAGGTATGATATAAATAGAGCTTTAATCGTTGAGAATAAAAAATTTTTGGTAGTCTCACAAGAAATGAATCTATTAAAATCTAAAAAGATAAAAATCTTAAGACTAGATGATTTATTAAACATGATCAAGAATGTTTATCAATAACTAACTAATAATATTTTTTGGTGATAAATCAGCAGAGTAATTTTTTTATTTTTTTAAGACAGAGTCTTACTCTGTTGCCCAGGCTGGATTGCAGTGGCACAGTCCTGACTCACTGCAACCTCTGCCTCCCAGGTTCAAGAGATTCTTCTGCCTCAGCCTCCCAAGTAGCTGGGACTACAGGCACCCATCACCACACCTGGCTCATTTTTGTATTTTTAGTAAAGATGGGGTTTCACTGTGTTAGCCAGGCTGGTCTCAAACTCCTGACCTCAGGTGATCTGCCTACCTCAGCCTCCCAAAGTGCTAGGATTACATGTGTGAGCCATGGCACCTGGCCTGCAGAGTAATTTTTGCTAGAATCTAACAAAATGTAGATGACTGCTTTCTTTGTTATTTGAAGATGCTTTGATGTTTGCAATATGACAGGAAATGAGACATGCATAATTAGAAAGGAAGAAATAGAATTAAAATAACCAATTAAAACTTAGAAGTTGAGGAGGGGTTTTTAGAAAGGAAATGAAGACAAGATAAACTTGAAAAATTAGGTTGGGTGTGGTGGCTCACGCCTGTAATCCCAGCACTTTGGGAGGCTGAGGCAGGTGGATCACTTGAGGTCAGGAGTTCGAGACCAGCCTGGCCAACATGGTGAAACCCCGTCTCTACTAAAAATACCAAAAAAAATTTTTTTTTCCCAGGCTCAAGTTCAGTGGTGCCATCTCAGCTCACTGCAGCCTCTACCTCCCAGGTACAAGTGATTCTCATGCCTCAGCCTCCTGAGTCTCCTCCCCTCCTGGGACTACAGACATGCACTACCATGCCAGGCTAATTTTTGTATTTTTAGTAGATCTTCAGGACCAAATCTTAATAACCCAGACCAGTTCAAATCAAAGTCTGACCCATTTCAAATAAATATGAAAGATTTTATGCTCTGTATTTTGCTGTTATTCTTGTTGATTTTAGTAAGTTCTGTCCTTTTTGGAGGAAGTTTTATAGTCTTTGCCCCTACCATAGCTCTGCATGATGTGCTTTACATCATTATTTTTATAATATAGATTACTAGAATTCATTCAAACTAAAGAAAAAATCAGAAGATTTTGGTCCGTAGTTTTGATTCTTCTTTCTGTATAGGTGACATCACCAGAACAAAACATCTGTACATTGAGCCCTGTTTCTACATTTTCTTTGAACTCAAGAGATGAAGACTTCATGGTTGAATTCTCTAAGAAGTCCCTGAAAGCAAGAACTTTACCTGATGATCTTCATTTTCTCCACTTGGAGGGTAGTCGTTACCATATTGCTCTAATATCTGGCTATCCATTTAAGATGAAGGTTTTTTGTTTGAGAGATTATTACACTAAAAATATAGTAGAACCAGATTCACTGTCATACCCCTTGAAGCCTTTCCATAACCTTTCTTCCTTTGAACTTTTTCCATCATAGGTAGCTATTCCAAGTACAATATTCCCTTCTAGCTATCTAGTTCTGTCTTGTTTCTCCTCCCAACTTTGTCACACAGACTCCTGAAAGTATCTTCTACCATTGTCAATATGTTTTACAGCTGTAACTCCAGTGTCTGATCCCTTTACAGCCTCTTCCTGTTCCAGAGGAATGACTCATTGTGACAGTTTCACCAACACCATTGGTTGACCTTAGCATAACCTCTTAGTTTCTCTTTTTGCTTTGGTATCCCAGCATTCCTAGGACTCTCGGTTTTTGTATATTTTGGCTCTTCACTATGAGTCAGCTTCTGCTTCTTGATAAATACAATACTATTCTCTAGGATCCCTTCTACTAAAATTTCTTTTCTTCTCTCTTTTCTTATAATCTTATCAATATATCTTCCCCTGGTTATGAGTTTATTTGGGTGAGGGGTGAGTTGTAGATAATTTTTTTGATTTTGGATGGATGATATAAAAAAAATTGTAATGTTAATTGGTAATTGGGTTAGAGAGGTTTTATGGGTGTGGTTGGTAGAAGGCAACAAGGTAGAGAAGAATCAAATACACGGGAGTGCGTATTCAAGAACAAGTGATACGGCAATGAAATAATAGATGATTTTCACTGTTATACCATGAATCTTTTACTTCTTTAATGGATTTTTAACTTTTCTCAGTGTTGCTTGATCAACTTGTTAGAATTACAACATAGCACTTTATAAAAGAATATTCACTGGCTCACCTACTGCTCTGCTACTTTCCAAATGATCTCCAGAGTGTATTTCCAGCAAAACAGAAACTCTGTCAGGAAGGCACATTATTATAAAATAGGATCCATAGTAATATCAGATAAAAACTATAAGCTTGCATAATTCTGATACAGTATTATTCATTTGTTTATGTATTCAACAAATATTTATTGCTT